TCTGTGCCGGTTTGCTGCCAAGGACCTGTCTGTCTGTTAATTAAATGCCGTAACGTATCTTTGGCTGAGAGTGTCTGTTGGTGTGGGACGAGGGGGGTCAGAACAAATAACGATGGCAAGAAAGTTCATAAAATGGGGTAAAACTCACAACTGGCTCGCTTAGCACCCTAAATTTTGGGCTTAACTGTAGTTGTAAGTGGGGGGGGGGGCTACTTGTATCTTGTCCTGGTCCTGAACTCTAAAGAAAGCTGTCTCTTCCATTTGTGCTGGTGTGTTGCTCATTTCTTCAGTAGGGAATTATTTTCAAAGCTCCTGCAAAGTTTTGCACACAAAAGAACCCCAGTTCTATCCTTCACATTTCAAAGTAAGACTGGAAGTACCCTTTCCAATTTAAGCACTGAGTAAGATGGACCAGTGGGTTGTCTCAGATTAAGGTTGCTTCCTGCATTCATATTCTTACATGAGTCATAAATTACTAAGAACACTTATGGGGCTTATATGAATAAAGAGGCAAAATATAAAAAGCAATCTGAAAGACAACATGTGGCTGCTGTAGAGTGACTAACATTTTTGTTAGAAACTGCTCATTATGTTAATATGGATGAAAAATTTCCATTTATTAGTGATATTTCAAAAATTCTGAGAAATTCTTGACACATAGAAATCATTCTGGAAAACATCGTCTTACCTTTTATATCTTAATTAACAGTGTCGTTTCTACAAAAAAACCATTATGGGAAATAAATTCATGGCAAGTGATAGAAAGTTTATTACCATGTTCTCTTTCTTGTGGGCTCGAAAATCTACAATATAATACCAAAATATGGTACAGAAACATTGGAAACAAAATCTCCTTTCTTTCTAAAAACTTTATTTTTTTAATCTCACTATGGTGCTTGTTTGTCTACTGTAGGAGCAAATCAGCAGGAGGAATCAAGATTCCAAGTACTGTAATCCTGCAAATTTATTACCTTTTTGGAAACTCGATACTTATCCTGAGATTTCAATCAGAAAGGACTAATATGCATTTTAAGGCTATTGTGATTCAAATTTTAGATTAAAATGGTTACACACCAGAATTAACTTAGGTACAGAATCAGAAAGAATAAAACCTAAATTCAAAAGTTATTTCTGTATATCAAATACTATATCCTGCATTTCAGTTAATGCCTTTTCTACATGACCTGTGTTGAAAAAAAAGATTATTGTAATTAAGTCATACAATTTAACTGGGACTTAAGAAATTAGCTTTTAGCTGGGAGGGGCCATTAGCACTTGAAATGCAATGCTATTTCTAAGATGAATGTTATATTTAAATAGTATAGAACTAGCAAAGATGAGTAAGAGATGATGATTTAAAATAGATCCTATTTAAAAACTATCCATGTAAGTCTTTCAACAAGCAGCCTGTATTTCTGAGCCTGTGAAAAGATTCAGACTCAAAAGGGAAAGAACAATTCAGAGAGTGTGTAGCTGTAATGTCTGATGGAAACTCTTAAAAACAGCTGCATCTTCATCTGGAATGACTTTTGATCAGTGGTGGGTTTCAAAAATTTTTAGAACCTCTTCTGTAGGTGTGGCCTGCTTTGTGGGAGTGGCTTGCTGGCCATGTGACTGGATGGGAATGGCTTGCCAGCCATGTGACTGAGTGGGAGTGGCTTGCCAGCCATGTGACTGGGTGGGCGTGACCAACTTGTAAAATATGGCAAAACTCACTTAACAACGCTCTTGCTTAGCAACCAAAATGTTGGCTCAGAAACTCTGGTATTGAAGCGTGCAAGTCTCAAAGCTGTCAAGTTACAAGACTCTTGCACCCCTAAATCTTTAGAAAAAAAAACCCAGGGGTGTTCAAACTTGACAGCTTTAAGACTTGTGGACTTCAACTCCCAGAATTCCTCCTCTCGCTCTTCATCTTGATGATGTGCGGATGGGGAGGGGGGAGGCAGCTGGAACCGGTTCTAAACGTTACTGTAGATTTGTAGAACCTCTTCTATAGAAGAGGTTAGAACAGGCAGGAACCCACCCCTGCTTTTGATCCTAGGAAAGATACGGTGCGTTCATATTCAGATCTGCGCATAGCCATAATAGTGTTTTCTAACTTTACTCATTTTTGGTGGAGAAAGATTATGATTCTGTGTCTTCGGAGGAGTCCAGCTCCCTTCATCCTTAAGATGTATTCGAAGACTGCAGATGGTCCAGAATGCAGCCGCGCGAGCAATATTGGGTGTACCTAGATACACCCATGTTACACCTATCGTCCGCGAGCTGCACTGGCTCCCCATTGGTCTCTGGACGTGCTTCAAGGTGCTAGTCGTTGCTTTTAAAGCCCTACATGGTTTAGGATCTGGCTACCTGAGAGACCACCTCCTGCCACTTACTTCCCAACGACCAACA